AACACTTTCACTCGAAATGTAAGTAAGCTCAATAAGTGAAAAAGGGCTGAGCCATCGTCCATCCCATGATAAATATCTTCAGAGCTGGGGTTCACTCCCATAAAAGCGTAAAGAATGCCAATCTCATGCAAAAAAGACCCAAAACATATGGACACATGCGAGTAAATTGATAATGATTTTGCCGATTATTTATATATATCTCATCTCATATCATGTCTCATCTTCCCAATCTCACCTCATAAATAAATAAATACATAAATAAATATATATGCCTTAATCAGCGACCCGACTATTTTGACACCGTTTTACCCCGTTCCTAGTTCCTGCCCGCGCCAATCCACTCCTGTACTTTGGCCTCAGCAACCTTTACGAGTATTTGTGTGTTCTGTTAACTTTGGTGAATAGGAAATAAGTAAAAGATATGAAGACCAGACCTTTTATATGGTCGCGGTCACCTTTCGTTGTACATAAGTTATTTGGCCTTATTTTCGCAACTTGGTCATATTGACAGGAAAAACTAGAGGAACGCACCTTTTCTGGAGTCCATTGTATGCATGATCATTTCCAGAGTCGAACTGCGGACTTTGTACATTCCCAGACGTTTCGCCGGCATCGTCAATGAGCCTTGCCATTCTTAGGACCACACTACAAATCGTCAAAGAGACAAGTGAAGTCGATTCTTTGACCAATTGTCTGCTAAACAAATGTGGTATCTCTCCTTCTGTCCTCGGCTATTCACCTATCCTATATCCTCGCATCACTACTTCAAGGTTTATCTAAACCTTGGATCAACACTCCCGGCATTGTGGGAGTGATGACGAAACCAGTGAGGAATGCGAATATATTTCAAGTAGGTTTAGATAAACAAGTATAAAATTGTGATATTGAACGGGTGATACGAAGATAAAGGTTAGGTGAATAGCCCAGGACAGAAGGATACATACTACAACTGTTTAGCACACATTTGGTCAAAGAATTGACTTCACTTGTCTCTTTGTAGTGTGGTGCTAAGAATGGCAATGTTCACCGACTATGACGGCAAAACGTCTGGGAATGTACAAAGTCCATGGCCCGATTCTGGAAATTATCATGCATACAATGGACTCCGGACGAGGTGCGTTCATCTCGGCCTTCCTGCTAATATGGCCAAGTTGCGAAAACAAGGTCAAACAACTTCTATAGGAAGTAAGTAAGCTTAATAATTATGATGCAAGAGAGTCATCGAAATCCAACTTTTCTTTGCATAAACTTTCAGCGATCGAATATTGACAATTGGTCATATTTCTTTGTATTGTGAAAGTTCAGGTTGAAGGCTTTATAAATTGGCGTGATTGAAAAGTAAAAGAGGATTGCTCTCTGGTTGGGGCTTTTGATGGGTGACTATAGGTCATTGGCGTAACGACCCGTGATCGAAATTAATTTGGGCTGGATTATCGTCTATACTGACGTCAGATATTATCAGAGGAAGAAACCGTAAATTTTAGCAAACTACAATTAAAGGTTCAACATGGATTCATCAGGGTCACATGGCTATGCAACGAGGAATTCTATGCTCAAAGCAACAGTATAAACTCATGGAATTTCTCCTTGGGTTAATAATTCCTTCAACTCAATTATTAATACGAATTAAAAATTTCATTGAAATAAAATAAATAAAGGCAAGGATAAACCATCTTTTCGA